TGTTGGTACGTACCTTTTTTGTTTTTTGTCATGTTGGTTTCTTCCTGCAGCTTGTTTCTGAGCTTGTCGTCCTTCTTTCAGAGCTGGGCGGAAAGGTGAAGTCATTGGAGCAGGACCTGGAGACGGTCAAGGCGACTTTTGGCCAGAATGCGGAGGAGCTGGCCAAGTCCCGTGAAGAGCGACGTGCTCTCGAGGGAGAACTTGACCAGATCTGCAATATCGCCCAACTCGTCGTCTCGGAGGTCTTCGAGTTGGCACCAAGTACTAGCGCGCCCGCGCTCCAGCTGGCGGAGGTCCTGGATGTGGTCCGAGACCTTATCACTAGTGGGCTGTTCTACGGAGCGTTGGGAGTGTTGACTTTAGTAGCGATGCACCATCCAAACCTGGACTTCACCACTATCTACAGTGGGTACGCTGACGGCTTGAGCACGCAGGACATCCAATCGATCGGGGCGAGCTTGCTGCCGCATGCAACGTTGGTTGCAGAGCAAGTCTCTGCTCAGTGGGTGATGGACGTCCACCATGAAGACATGGCCAGAAGCGTGCGTCGGGAGAACGTTGCCCAGCCTACGGATGGCACGGAGCCTGGGTTGGAGGTGGACATCGCCCCGGCTTCGACCGAGCCGAATGTCGTGCCACCGGGGAGTGAGCCGCCCGCGCCTTCGCCGGTCGCACCAACAGCAGATGCCGCCGAGCCGCCCCAATAGCTTGTAAGGTATAAGTAGTTTAGTAAACGTAAAAAGTTTAAGTTCATGGGGGAGCCCCCGTGTAAGCATTCTTGTGTACTTAATGACTACAGTCGGTTTCGTTTTCTATGATCGAGTCACTCCGTTCGGGGAAGCTTGTTCCTTTTGTTCCTTAGTTTTCCCTTAGCATAATTTTGTTTTTATTCTTTCTTTCTCGTACCTACCCGTTTGTCCCGTAGGCTGCAACCTTGGGAGCCCGGGGCGTGGCCCACGAGGCTCAACTGCTCGTAACCGTAGGAAAAGGTGGGGTGCGATCGGTCAAAATGTTTTAAAGCAAAGCTATGTAAGGCAAATTAAAGGAACGAACAACCCTTTTGTTTGGGTAGGAAGGAGTTTCACCATATGATAGTTAACGAAAAAGAGAGGTAGTGGTGTACCCTAGTGGAGCCCCCGAGCGCCCTGGGCCAAAAAGTGTTCGGGTCGGGGTGCTCTTATAGGAGCAAACGCTAAGTAAACAATGGTAAGACTGAAATTTAGGGGAAGAAAAACGACATAGTCGTTCCAAGCGTTTGGTGAGGATGTCGTTGTTGTCACCCTGCAGTCGGTAGGCATCCGGTCGGATCACTTCAACCTTCAGTCATCTGGATCCTTGTCTGTTACGCCCCTTTTCTTGGCTACCTGCTTCTTCGCCTTTTTCTTCCTTTGGCCCGCCGGCCTGTCGCAGAAGGCGCTTGAGGAGCTCGCAGTCCTTGTAGAGGTGTTTGATGGGGTAGCCATGGTTGGTGCATGGGCTCTCCATGAGCTCATGGAAGTGGCCCGGAGGGTCCTGCTGGGGCTGCTTGCCCGTGTGATCAGCCGTGGCGACCAACGCGGAGTTGGCCGGTAGGCGTCGATCTTTTCTGTTCTTTTTCCCCTTCTGCGTGGAGGGGCCCTTATCCTAATCGTGACGCTTGGCCTTGCCTCGGCCTCCGTTGGAGCGCGGCGGGAGCGGCGCTCGCTGGGGGTGTTGGCCAAAGGTCCGTGGCCCTAGGCCATCCAGGCTGGGACTCTGATCGCTGCTGCGTGCAGCTCGGTTCGGCCCGAGCCACGCATATACAGGCGGTCGGTGTGGAGCGGTCATCAAGTCAACACGAGGCGTAGGTGCAACCTCTTGTGCCGCCCTCGGCGGTTGTAGTGGTGAGCGAGTGGAGCGACTCATCTACCGCGCCCCCATTACCCTGGTACGGAGTGAGGCCGTGAGTCGGTGTCGCAATACGGAGCTCTCCGTTTGTTGAACGGCGGCGGACTCCACTAGTGCCTGGAGGTTTCAATGGATTGCCTGTTCCTGAGGGTCGTTCAACTCGGACAGGCCGCGCAGAAGCATCGCCGCAGCGACGATGTTCTGATTGGCCTGAGCGAACTGTGGGGGATCGTTCCCCCAGTCCATGGTGTTGCGCTGGACCCGACGGGCGTGACCCCGGGCGTCGCTCGCCGGTCTATGCTCACGGGGCGCAGTGTGGCGCGTCGAGCGCGCTGGTGCAGTCGGTGGCTGATGCAGCCACTATTGTCGTAGTGCCTCGCTGTGCTCCCATGTGAGCTCGGGGGTCTCCGCATGAGAGTCTGGAGGGGTATGAGTGTGTGAGGACTCTGCTTCCGTCGGTGGGTGTTCCGGAGCGTCCGCCATAGCGCACTCCCAGGACAGACGGTGGCTAGGCGCCATGTCGCCGATGCTGGAGCCTTCACTCTCGCCATCGTCATCCATGAGGTCAAGGAAACAAGTGGGACCATAGCTCGCCATTCCCACGAATTCGGACATGAGAGTGGGGGGCGCCGGCATCCTTCGGAGCCCCTGGGAGTACACATCCATGGGGGACGCGAGGCCACAGGGGAACCGGTGGCGTGGCGGTCGCGGCGGAGACAATGGGGTCCCGCCGGATAATCAGCGGAAGATAGAAAATAGCAAGTAAATAACAGTATGTACGTTACTTACAACGGGGTTTGAGCAGAGAGTTTGCTTGGAATGAAGCGCAGATGCCGCATCGCTGAAGTCGTCGTGCGTCCCGGAGCTGGTGGGAGGCGCTCCTCCGATGGCCGTCAGAACGAGAGCCTCCTCGCAGAGGTGCAGTACGCCGAGCCGGTCGGCGATGAAGTCTAAGCTTCCGAAGAGGAAGGCCTAGGATGGCTCAAAGACGGGTGGAACCCGTATCCCAACAGGTGCGAGTGTGGGAGACTCTAGTGAGCCGAAGCAAATTGTATCGCATGAGCTCGCCACGGCGAGGGTAGCGGAAAAGTGGGTCATCCGACAACCAAAAAGTGTTGAATGTACAGCGTCTTCCCCACGGACAGCGCCAACTGTCGGTGCAGAAAGTGACCAACAAGTGAATATTTATAATTTTGTCGTACGTTGTGATCGAAGGTGGCCTAGCACTTAATGACATAGGGTTTATACTAGTTCAAGCAACGTGCCCTACGTCCAGTTTGAGTCGGTCGGTGACTTTATTCCTGAGCCTAGGTGCTCGAAGTTTGCAGTGGGGTTACAAACGAGAAGGAGAAAGATAGGGTGTACAAGAGGTCTGGTCGGCTCCGGTCGGAAGGGCCGAGAGCGACAGGAGCTCTGCTATGAGCTGAGTGTTCAAGCGTGTGCTTGAGGTCCGAACTTGGCGGTTCTGTGGTTGTGAACTAGTGAATTTGGTCGATCTAATGAATCTGGAATGACTTGTGTGAACTTAAATCAACTTGGATGAACTGAGTCTCTTGGGAGAGAGCGCATCCCTTTTTATAGATAAAGGAGATGGCCTTACAAGTGAGAGGGAAGGAGCACGTTTGCTTCTAAGCCTTGTTGGCCACGCCGACGGGTACCGGATGATGGTAGGCGCCCACAACACTGTTGGATGTTAGATGCACGTGAGAGGTTACGTCGTCTTGTTTGGGTATGGCAGATGTCGATACCTGCTATATTGTTGATGCCCTAGAGGCATGAGGAGTTTCACCATATTCACTCGGTACGATAAATGCCGGCGCCCACAACACTGTTGATGCCCAGAGGCATGTGGGGGTGCTTACCGTATGGGAGTTTAATGGTGTCCACAATACTGTAGGAAAAATATCGGCGCCTACAACACTGTTTGTGTCAGGGCGGTTGCAGATACTGTTCTGTTTCTGCAGGTGTACAGGGTATGGTCCCTGGTATCGTGGTTTGACTTGTGCGCCTTGCCCTGCTTTCTCCGTTCGTTCACTGGTCCTTTCCAAGCGGGCGTCCCGGTCGGTTGGCCCCAATCGACTCTGGTTGCGCCAGTCGGAGAAGGAGCGGTGAGCAGGGCTTTTTGCATACCCCGGTTGGAGACGTGGGGTCGGAGTTGGAAGCAATGTTTCGACCAGGCCTTTCGGTCGGAAGAGGCCGTCCGGAGGCGGGCTGGAGCCCGAAGTAAACGCTCTGGTCGGAGCGGTGGGCCAGAGTTGGAAACGGATGTTGTTCCTTCTCGGCCAGGTCTTCCGGTTGGTGACTGGATTGCCCCTCTAGCCTGTTTGTTCAGATATTCAGGCCGGTCCATGAGTCGCGCGCTGTCTGCTTGGACCGTGCCTTCGTCGGAAAATCGGTCCGCGAGGACCCCGGGTTTATGAACCCGACGACAAGACTCCAGCCAAATATAGGCTGACCATTGAGAGAACACGTCGCCAAGGTTACACTGACTAATCACATCATTTCTTAGTAAATCCTAAGCCAAGTTGAGAGATCAACTGAAACGTCTTGTTGTACTAGAAAATGAAATATATAGAGTATAAAAAAAACAAAATGAAATATATGAGAGGCTCATGTATTACTCTTGGAAGAGACATTATATTAATACTGTCTTAAATCTTGCTTGCTGGTAGTATAAAAATAAAAATCCTAAAGAAATAATTGTTACATTATACATGACCTCCGACTCCGATCGATGCTACATCATCGAGAAAGAAATACCGCTAGCTAGCACTCGTTTAATTCCTTCAGTTACATATTGCAGCAAAGAATACTAAAGAAAAAACAGAAAACATTTCCTCGAAATCTGAAATCGTTGGGGGCGCTTCTGAAGCTGAAGCTGAAGCTGACCAAAATGCATTTGCATGCAAAGCCTTCTTCCTGCCTCTACCTAGTAGTAGAGCAAATGTTTAGTTCGCCGCCGAGAAGAGATCACGAAGCTGTTTAGTTCGCCGCCGAGAAGAAAAAGCAAATGTTTAGTAGAGCAAATGGATTCAAAGAAGAGATCACGAAGCTGTTTAGTTCGCCGCCGAGAAGAAAAACCAATGGAGTCACCACCTCACCAGTGCCGTGCATGCCCCGCTGGCCGCCTCTGCCTAACACTGCTCGCCGCCGGGGCTGGCGGAGGCGTGCATGTGCTTGAGCTTGGTGAGCTCCTTCCTCCGCTTCCTCGCCTCCGCCGCCGTGGCCGCCTTGTCCCTGTCGCTCTGCGCTCCCGCGCCGCCGCCGCCGCCGCCGGGCCCCGCGGGGAAGATGCTGACGGGCGCGCTCCGCTTGTCGACGACGTCGAGGCCGAGCGTGAGCGAGCAGGGGTCGTCGTCTGTGTCCTCCTCGGCCGTCGCACCGCCACCTCCGGCCGGGCTGCCCACGGGCTCAGCCGCTGCAACGGCGCCGCGCGGGTCCTGGAATGCCCCCGCCGGCTGCGGCTGCTGCTGCTGCGCGTACGCGGGCGCGGCGGACGACGGCGACCCGCGCGGGTCCGCCGCCACGACCGGGTAGTACCACGCGCAGGGCTGCAGGCAGAGCGCCGGCGGGCCCGGCTTGTTGCCGTGGTGGTGGTGCTCATACCCGGCGGCGCCCGGCGGCCAGGAGCTCCATACGTAGGGCACCGGCACCACCGGCGCCGGCGCCTCCGCGGTGTACAGGAACCCCGGCCGCGGCGGCGTCGCCGGCGGGGACGCCGTAGACGCCGCCGCCAGGGATTCCGCCTGCTGCTGCTGCGCCGGCATCGCCGCGGTCACCGCCGCCGGCGCCTTCTTGGCCGTCCTCGTCGCCACCTGCGCGCAGAGAATTGAATGAGCACACGTCCGTCTCAGCGTGACGCCAAGACCCGTAGTAACTCCGCGAAGACGACGACGGAATCCGCTGACGTGGTCGCGCACGCAGGCACGCGCGACCGAACAACGAGACACCACCAGGAGCTCGGAATTGCACGGGTGGTAGTAGGCTAGCTGCTGAACCGACTGGAAGAAATGGGCACCATGCGCGGAGGATCGGACTGATCCCAATCCCATCCCATCCCCGATGCAGCCAGCGTCGGCATTACACTTGCACCGAGCAAGCCGGCCGCCATTGACACTGTTCGTTGGTGGGTTTCTGGTCCGACTGCTGCTGGTTTTTTTCCGAGAGAAAAACACTCTCGGCTGGTCTGCTCCACTTTCGGCTGGTCAGCAGACTTAAAGTCACTGTTGCTACAGTGCTCAAAAAGCAGCCGCTGCGGCTGGCTTGTAGAGCAGCCGAACGCGCTTGACTAGCAGCAGGAGCTAGGTGTACGGCATGAGTAGTAGTACTCCGTAGTAGAAGTGGGCAGAAAAGTGCAGTGCAGGGTCATGCATATGTGTCCTGGTTTGAGGGGAACAAGTGGAGGCTTTGGAACGTCCTAGATTCCTGTCAACATCATTATTTATTGGATAACACTCGTACTTTAATCAGAGGTGATTTTAATCAAGTACAGGATCAAGTATAGGATCACGTAGAGATTTTAATCAACGAACGAAAGGGGAGGAACGAAAGCGATGGGTGGTGATGTGCCTGTTCTTTGAGCTGCTTGTTGGCCTCGTTGAGCGACAGGTACTCCTGCATCACCATGTCCTTCTCCTGCACCAACAGGCAACCGGTGCGTCGTTGTCGGCTCATCAGTCATCACTAATAAACTCAGAAGAGTGTGAAGACGACACATAGCAGACGTCAGTTGACGCGCGGCGAGCTAGTATGTCAGGCGGCACGAGATGAGTACGTACCTTCTTCATGTTCTCGTTCTGCGACGAGAGGTCGGCGACCTTCCTGGCGAGCTCGTCCCGGATGGCCTGGCGGCGGAGGATGGTCTGGCGGGCGGACTCCCGGTTGGCCAGCACGCGCCGCAGCCGCTTCGCCTCCTTCTCGGCCTGCCACGTCACGCACGCTGGTGAAGACGGGTCACGCTCACGGAATCGCGAGCGCGGAGCACGAGTAGGTTACCTCGGTGAGCGCGTGCGGGGGCCGTGTCCCGGAGCCGGCCGCCGTGGCGGGCACCGGCTGCTGCTGGTACGCCTGGTGGTGGTGCGCATGATGCGGCGGGTGCCCGCCGCCGCCAGCGCTGGAGCTGCTGGAGCACGGGGACGCCTGGATGCCCACCTTCCCCAGCTCCAGGCTCAGCCGCGTGCTCGCCAGCTCCTCCTCGTCCTCCTATCGTCGCCGTCGTCGATCATGAAGCAAATAATTGTTAGTATATGAGAGCAAATCAGCGCAGCAACGGCGGTTGTAATCATTCACCTGAGTAGTAGGAGGAGGGGGAGGAGGAGGCGCGTGCCGCACCGGCGGCAGCTGCTGCTCGCCGGCCGGCCCGACCCCGGCCATGTCGGCGAGCGCCATGGCGGCGTCGAGCTCCACGTCGACGGTGACGCCCCGGCGGCATTGCCGCTGCCCGTCGCTATCCTCAGACATGGCGCGCGCGGCGAGCGGAGTGGAGAGCCGGACGGAGCGACCTGCTAGATGCCGGAGCCTCGCATGGATGGATCACGGGGAGAAACAAATAGAGGTGTGGGAGAAGAGAAGAAGAGGGTTCGACTTTGTCTTCGAGTTCTTCGACGGCGGCGGGGCGGTGCCAAGCGAAAGCGAGTAGGAAGGAATAGGCCCCTAAATATCTCGCTCGCCGCCTCGCAGGCAGGCGGCCACCCCGGGAGCGCCCGGTGGAGCCCCGTCTCGCCCGTCCCCGGCCGCCACGTGTCGGAACGGCTCGCCCCGCCCGGGCTCACCTCCACGCAGCAGGCGCTCGGTGGACACGCGGAGGCCGGGCGGCCCGCGACCAGCATGCAGACTGCCGAGAGCGGGCGGGCTCGTGGCCCGAGGCGGCGGGACAGGGAGGGCCCGCCTAGTCAGTGAGTCACAGTGTCGGGACGAAGGCGGTGTCGGGACGAAGGCGCTTTGGTTGGTTGGAGAGGCGGAGGAGTCGGCGGCAGCGGCCCGCATGTCAGCCCGCGCGACGACGTGCCGCGCCCGCGCCACAGCCGGGTGGCCGCGGATGGACGCCGCCACGCCGGAAGGAAGCGTCTGGAAAACTGGATGGAACACCACGCCCGCTCCGCGCAGCGCGCACCCAATCCGGCTCGGCGATGGTGCATGCTTCTGGGTCTGTTGCAGCAGGCAGCAGGGTGATCTCACCTAGCCTGATGGTCTATCTGATCTGATGGTGATGGAGTGACGGGGGAGGGAGAGGCGTGTGTTGACCGCTGATCGCCGAGCTTGTCTGCGTGCTCTGCTCGATCACTGCTCGCCCCCAGGGTGCTCGACCAACCGCTGTCCATTGCCAAGCTCAGGCAGGCGGCAGTAGCGGGGATGCCGAGGCGGGCAAGCAACCGACTCAACTGCCTGTCGTCTCTCTACTGTACTGTAGCGCTGGATCTTGCATTTCTTTTTCCGGGACTCTGGTGCTCGTCCAACCGGCGAGTATCTGCTCCTCGTGCCGTCTCCACACAAAATGACCCATTTTAAGCTTACGTATCGCTACAGGTAAAGAGTCGATACCTATTTTTTTATTTTCCACCTATAAAACTTAAAAGAGAATTTTTTTTTGTAAATAGGTCTTCAAAAGTGAGGATACTCAGATTTTGGTAATAACTCTCCTAACACCTAAAATAGATCTTTCATATAAGTACTCTGTTGGAGACTGTAGGTATTGTGTTGGAGATTCATTTTGGATTTGGGTTTCCTGATAGGTCTTCTGTTGGAGACAGCCTTACGACCTTACCGCACGATAGGAAAGAATGCAATTGCGTGATACGTGTCGGTCAACGTAACTCAAGTTTCACCAAATTTATAGTACATAATATTAGTGTTTATGTCTCCAAACAAATTTATTATGAAAATATATTCTATAACTAATCTAATGGTACTTATTTTATATCATGAATGATAATAGTTATTTTTATATAAACTTAGTCAAAGTTTAAACTATTTGACTTCTCGAAAAACGAATTTTGCATTCTTTTGTGGACGGAGAGAGTACCTCTGTCAAAAAGAATGTAAATCTTGCTTTTTTAAGGTAAGATTAATGTAGGTGTGAAATTACGTATTTACTCCTCCTTCATCATTCTTCTTATAGGTAGAAACTGAAAAATAATCATTGCATTTTAGAATATTCTTCCCATAGATAGATAAAGCAGTGATATTTTTAATAAATGGGTGCCATTAGAAAAGTTGATATCATGTCTATAATTACATTCTTTCTTAGACAAGATTTGAAATGCAGGATTACATTCTTTTCGGGATGGAGGGAGTAGTAGAAAGAAAGATGGTTAGCGATACCTGGTGCTCCCAAGAATGCAATTATAGGTTATTCCTTTCGTCTTAAAATAAATGATATTTTTTTTACTTTTAGACATCTTATTTGATTGCACATTTTTTTCAAAATTTTTGTATAAATATTATCTATTTTGTTATGACTTACTATATCATTAGAGATACTTTAATAAAGATTTGCTTATTTTATAATTTACATAAAAAATTTAAGTAAGATAAACGGTCAAATAAAATGTACGAAAGTTAAAAACATCGTTTATTTTGGAACGGAGAGACTATGCCAGTTCAAGTGGTTGGCATTTCACCAAGTTTCTAGTGAGTAGTATTCACACTTCAAATAAATTATTATGAAAATAATTTTCATAATTAATGTAATATGTTTCTTTAATATATTAAATGTTGATATTTTTATCTACAATTGGTCAAACTTAAGATACTAAAATATGACATAATGATAGAATTTTATTCTTTCATGAACGGATGGAGTACTATCTCCATTTTACTAAGGACACCTTTGGACCTAGAAATTTTATAGAAAAATAATATAAAAATTTAATTTACAAGAGTTTATTTTCATAAGGAAAACATAGGAAACAAAAAAACCCACATTCCAAAAAGGCCCTAAATTGCAAAATTTTTCTAACTTTTCTAACTATATTGTTTTTAGCTTAGTATCTAGATATACATTATATTTATGTACATAATAAATTTTCTATATTTAGAAAAATCAGGACAACATACAATTCTGAATGTAATGAGTACAATAGAAATTACTATATTTAAGATATCTTAATTTTAAAATAACTAATTAGTACAATTAAAAAGAGAACTTATACTTCCTTAGTCCTAAATAGATAACTTTCTAAAAATTATGAGATAAATTAAGGACACTGGCAAAAGATGCATGTATCCTTATCTTGTTTTCTTTATGAGAGGAGATTTTCTAGATTTGGCAGTTATGGTTCGTATGCATCCGTAATTAGCTTTTGTATTAGGAGGCAATGGCTTATCTTCTTTACACAAAATTTAAACCTCATGATATTATTTATTTTGAGACGCAGGGAGTAAGTAATAGTTTATATTTTTTTCTATAGTCAAACAATGACAAACTACATGTTACGTGAACAATTAAAATAATAAATACCTCAATTAAGGAGAAGTAAAAATATACAATTTTATTATGGGAATTTGGTGTTTCTGCTCCTACTCTAAAGCTCAATGTTAATTTATCTTTTTTTAACTTTGTGATTTTACCCTACTCCAAAGCTCAATGTATATAGAAAAACTAAAATGTTTTATAGTTTAAAATGAAGAGAATATTAAGTATTATAATTTGTCATGCAATATATTTCTATGGTATGTCATAGTTTTTTTTTGAGAAAATAAACTTATAAATGGTAGTAGTAAACTTATAGCGCATTTTTTTTTACTTAGGGAGCACTTGCCACAGGGCAAGGTGCCAAGGCAGTGTTCAAAGCCAACTCGGAAAAGGTTGCTTGCCATGCCTCCCGCGGCTAGGCACCAATGCGACCCATACAGTGACAGCGTGCGGGTGGGAGGGAGAAGAGAACAGAGAAGGAGCACGGACACGGGCTTGGCTCGTCAGTGACGGTGAGCCATCATCGAGGCCACGAATTGACGTCACCAGTGAGCCACGAACTGGTGGAATGCCGCCCATCCCTGATCCCTCGCTTCGGCTCCAAGGGGCGTTATTTATTTACGGGATGTTTGGTTGCATGCCAAACTTTGTCTTGCCACGCATGCGGTTGTCACAAGAGTTTGGCTGCTGTTATTGGTTGAATACGTCAGTTGTGGCAGCCACAGTTTTTCTTAAGCTTATTTGCGCCACACCATCCTTGGCAGCGCCACAACCTGGTGGCTGGCGTGGCACCAATCTATGCGACCCATACAGTGACAGCGCTAAGCGTTTGTCGTCGCGCCCACCCCACCTATAAATAAATTCGGAATATTGAGCTGCTGGCCGATTCGATGGATGCCATGGGCTCCGATCCAACAGGTGCGGGCGCATACCTATACAGTACGTACATGACTAGATGGGCCGGGCCCAATGCCTTGTCGTCGCGTGTCATCTCCCTCTCAAGCAAAGGCGAATAGGCGATGTTTAGTTTTTCTGCACTGGGTCTGCGTGCCATGAGCGTGAGGTGACTATTCAGGCGGCAGTCAGCAGTCGTCATGCATGGCTGGCACCCCGCAGCCCGCAGGAAACAACAAACAACCCCACCAGCACAAAGCTACGAGCAGTCCTTGATGGTGATGGTCCTCGGAATTCCATGCATGGCACAGACGTAACCCTTTCTCCTTCAACTCCTCGAAAGCGTACAATTTTAGCTCTGCACTCTGGTATACTGTAAAGTTTCATATCTATATTAAAAGTTATTAATATTCAGAATATATTTTTATAATAAACATATTTGGCATAATTGTTGATACTATTTCCGATAATTTTAATCAAAACATACCAATATCATGACTGGGGTCAAATCTAAAATTGCACCATTTTTTGGATGAAGGCACTACGAATATAATAATGCCATGCTAACTGTACAAAATTTCACGTAAGAAGCATACAATTCGGAAAATACAACGTTCTATAGGGGCTTTAGGACATGCACGTTTAGATGGGCAAATGACTAGCTGCCAAATTAGCCCCCCTTTGACTAATTAATGTACTAATGGTTAAGATGAGTACTGACAACAAATTAGCCATACTATTAGCTCTTACTGCTTTTTTTTTTCCCGGATGGGCTAATGGCGTTTTAACCCATCCAAACGGTTCTTTAATATTATTAGCTAGAAGATTTTCAGAAGACGAGAGAACACACATTGCCTTTTCAGTTAGGGGCAGAGCGAGGTAAGCTAAATAGCTAATGCGTTTGGTGCCTTCACTTTTCAATAAAAAAAAACTAGTAGTTCGGTCCTTTCGAGGATGCACAAAGAAACACATCCTTTTTTATCTTGGACTCTTGTTTCTAGCACCATTTTTGACGAGAACACATTCAAATATTGTTTGGATGCTAATGTATCCACCTCAATCTATGTATGCTAGACCCGACATATATGCATTGAGGTGGGTACATGGGCTTCCAAACGAGCCCTTAACATTTTTAGTTAGGTGCTGCTCCCTC